TCTAACTAAAATATACAGTTATTTAAGCTTAAATTATAAAAGTAAAGTTAAGTAATTTAAGTTTACAATGCAGAGCAGTTTAGCCCCACCCATTCACATTGAAGTTATGAGGAGTGTTTCAGTCCAAGCACATTTTGAACGAGGCACAAGCCAATCAGGAGTCATGTATCAGTCTTAAAGGCACAGTAACAAGAACAGTCTGTTTAATTCTAAGAGATAACGAGAGGTTGGTAATTCAATTATGACTGTTCTTGCAGTCGTATACCAATATAAACATCATAAAATACTCATATAATTCCTATAAACAACATCACATAAGTGGATTTTGAGAACAATGCTATGATATGGTCCATTTATATCCAATTTACACTGCAAGTGACAAATCTAACTTATATGGTCAGACTTTGGTCACGTATCCACATCAGTTGTCATAGTAACAATGCAGGTGTGCATACATTGACTTGGACGGGGCAGGTAAAAGATAAACAAAAGAAACTACATGAAATGTGACTGGTCAAACTGGACTACTAACCGGTCAAACTAAGGTGTATGTCCAAAGATCTAAACCATACAAATGTGGCTTTAACATGACTTGGAAAAAGCCTGATTTTCTATGTGGTTATTTGCTATTCGAACAGCAGAAATATTTCAGAAATGTCAAAAAAAAAAAAACACATTTGAGCTGCTATAGAAAATAAATGCAAAAGGTGAGATGGGAGGATGGCCTGCGAGTCAGGAGAGCAGGAGGTGAGACAGCAGACTGTTATGTGTGTGCCAGCACAGTGTGGGAGACAGTGTCAGTCTATGTGTGTGTGAGAGAGAGAGAGAGAGAGAGAGAGAGACAGAGCGAGCTGTGGAGAGAGAGGCAGTCAATGACACAATCCCGGAGTCCGTCTCTGGTTACCGCGGCGAGGTTGAGGGAAATCTCAGGTGACCGGCAGTCCCCTGGCAACGGGGAACAAGCAAACCGCTCCGATTTTGAGTGACGGCGGGGGGGGGGGGGGGGGGGGTGGAGGATTTTCCATAACAGTGCAGCGAGTTAGCTGCTTGGCCTCCCAGTCCGACCAGCTTTCTCAGGGAACGAGATAGGCCTGGCAACGAAGAGCAGCTTATCAGCCCCAGGGAGGGAGAGAGAGAGAGAGAGAGAGAGAGAGAGAGACTGAAGGAAAGAGAGAGAGAGAGAGCAGCTAGACAACTTTCAGACTGGAGATAAGGGCTGTAAAATCAAGGAGCAAAAAAACTGGGCTGATATCCATCAAACACTGTTTCTGTTAGCGCTCCAACAAGCTATGACACACTCGGTCCTCTGCAGGCATGTGGTTTTCACGGTTTTACTACTGTTCCATTTCATTTGATATGCTTTTTCTACTCTACAAATCAGCAGCTTAACATTCCCACACAGACTCACAAACCCTGACACTCAGACTTGTTGACTGCCTGCAGGCCAGACTGAGGCTAGCTGTATTGTCACCGTGGGCCAACAGCGCATGGATAATATTAAAAAGGCTACTGGCTGCCCCCATGCTGATGCAAGTCGAGAAGTCGTAGGAGAGCCCACTGGAGACTACCGGAGTGACTGCAGGGCTGCGGCAGGAGAATGCTGAGTCATAATCAGATCATTCACTGACTCAACTCGCAGGAAGACTAGAAACTGCAGAATGGATTGTTCCATGTGCTTTCATTTTGGACAAACAAGGAGCATGAACTGTCATGGATTTTAACCCCTTGAACTCTGTATGTGGGCCTACAGTTCAATTCCATCCAAATCCGGTTCACGATATTCACCGAATAATCCATAGCAGTTACGCAATTATGAGTCGTACGATGAACCAAATAGTTTAAGTGGTTTTAATAAACACAATTAGTTCACGTTCTGCCTCAAAATGTACAGAAAATGACATAGGACGGCTCTGACGTCAACTTATCTACTGCCCAAGCTAAACTCCTTTGTAAAATAGGCTAGGAAAACTGTTTTGGAGAAAGACTCACAGTAACCTGAACTGATTTTCACATTATGCTTGGCTCTCGGCCCGTTCCAGCAGAAAGGGTTGGGCCGAGTGGCAGGTACTGCGCGGAAACATCAATACAGAAGAAAAAGCTGACGTTTTCTCAGGATCCATTCTCCATGCACAGCCAGCGATTGGTCGTGGCATGTTGTAGACCTGCAGGTTTTTGAGTTAGGATCTGGTTTTTCCTGTCAGGCGCAGACCAAAGTTCCACATCACAGGCGAAACTCACTCCCTACTTTTACAGCTCGTCCTCAGACAGCACGCACACAGCTACTAGCTTTGCAAGATGTGCTGCTCAGCCACAAGCTAGCCTGCGGTCATCGCCAGTGGCACAAATACCCAGGCCAAGGTTCTCCTAGTTTATCACAGTGAGAAAAAAACATTCTCAACACAGAGTGCACATCAGTTGCTTTGGTGTAAAGCAACAGACGCAGAGGAACCAGATAAAGTTTTAAAGATGTGGTCAAGTCAGGCTAATTGTGTGCATGAGGGGTGCAAATTTAGTCTGATAAGCGAGGGGACCAACGTCAGGAGGATAAAGCTACATACAGCAATCTTTTTTCTTATTTCACAACGAATTGTTGGTCTGATCTCCATGTTGCTATAAATATTTGAGCAAAATCCCCCAAAAATGGTAAATTTGGTGATAATTAAGAAGAAAGGACTATTATTGAGACATTGCTCAGCAAGCATTTACAGTACAATAGTGTTAAGAAAGATTCTATAACTGAACAAATCAACTATTTATATCACTTTTAATGGAAGTTTTAAACTGTAACTGACAGCTATACGACAACTGATGTCTGACAGCTCTTTCTGAAACTCAACTATGTACTTTTTAGTCAACTATCCCACAACCCCTCAAAATTTTCTCGCATTATTTCAAAGAGCGGAAGGTACAAGACCCTCCGTCCCCCCCCGAATTTGCACCAGTGGCTAGCCTACCTTGCAACGCCTACACTACAGTTTCAAAACACACATTTCTCTGTTTTGAGGCTTCGAGGATTAGCAGCTTTTTATGGGTTTGACATTTTTTAAATTCCATGACAGTTAATCAACGAAAAACAAGTTAATCAAAAGCTCAGGGTGTTCTGAAAAAAAAAAAAAAAAATACTGAAGACACTCATCTCTTTTTATTCCGTTTGCTAATCTACATGTTACAGGTTGCTGGAAGAAAGTTAAACTGTAAAACCTTCTTCATTTTCCAATACACCTGCATGAATCCTCTGATGAGGGACATTTTATCAGCCTGTTCCATCTGAGGGAATCTAAGGGGGGAGTCAACGGGCGGGAAGGTACCACTGTGCACCTGGTACTAAAGCCCCATGCAGATAACAAATCTCAAGGGGAGCCAAGAGCAGAAGTGTTAGTGTTCAGTGGGATATTTCAACAGCTTATTTGTTCCTCTACTGCATGTATTTAACAAAGCATGGCCAGGACTACACCTACACTGTGAAGCTCCAGGCACAAACTATTCTGCCATAACGTTCTTTGGGGGGGTTCAACTAGAGAAAGGTCATGTCTGACAAGACTGAAAAACAAAATCAACCAGTCAGAAAACACACACACACACACACACACACACACACACACACACACACACACACACACACAATACATGTCTATATCTTTATCTATCTCTCTCTCTCTCTCTCTCTCTGTATATATATATATATATATATATATATATATATATATGTATGTATCTGTATATAGATATATATGGACATATATACATATATATAGATATATACAGATATATATATAAATATATGACACTGTGTAAATATGTAAATATAAATATTTATACACAGTGTATTCACAGGCTTTTTTACCCACTGCTTCATTCCTGGGTGTTCGCTACCTACCGAAGTTTCTCAGATGAGAAAGTAACAATATAATAAATAATAATTTTTGCTTCACTGTTCCACCAAAAAAGCTCTAGAAGACAAGGGCACATTCTGAATATCCTTAAAAAAATAGAAAACTCCAATACTATACCAATACTATATATATATATATATATATATATATATATATATATATATATATATATATATATATATTTATATATATATATGCATGGTGAATTGAGAGGCATATGACATCATATATGTATATATATATATATATATACACACACACACACACACACACACACATATCATATGCCTCTCAATTCACCATGCACAGATATCAGACAACACATATAAAATAAAATAAAATGCTCAATTTAATGCTAAATATTTTGCATAAGGTATAATAAAAATTAAACAAGCAAGCCCACAATCAAGACGAACCCTCCATCCTCTGAAAAGTGACATTCACTTCGAAATCAAGAGCAAGGAGTAAACATAAGCGTATATTAGCTTGTGGCAAGTGTTGTTTTGTAAAATATTGTACTTTCATAATGTTGAAAGGTCTAAAAAACTAATTAACTGAACACAGAAATCTACGTATATTATATGTAATATAATAACTTCTATGTTCAGTTAATACATACATAGTTAATACATTATACATATATGTTAATATATATATATATATATATATATATATATATATATATATATATATATATATAAAGTTTCTAATTATATTAACATATATATATATATATATATATATATATATATATATATATATTAAACATTAGTATATTTTGATGCACAAATTGTGTAGCTTTCCTAGTGACAACAGAGTACTAAAATAAGATACAACCTCAAAATTTACTATTGGCCTTTTATATTAGCATATAATGTGAAGGTGTGTAAAAAATACATACAGACTACATGCATGAAAATTCTATTCTATTCTATTAAATTCTATTCTATTCTATCAAAAACAAAATCATGTCACTTACATTACGAATCGTATACCTCATATCACATTCATGGTCATCTGAGATTGGCTTTAAAACAAACTTTGAGTATATGTTGAGCAAATAATCCTCTCAACCACCATAGTGACCATAATTTAGACCAGACTTACTTGCTATATAGCCATCCGTTGCCTCCATGTCCGTGATTTGGGGGAAGAGCTGTGGAGAGGAGAAGAAGAGAAGCCATCAGAGACAGCTGTGCATGAAAGAGTCTCTTTTCTGCAACCCTCTGCTGTCTTTTGCACAAATGAGACCACACATGCACACTCATTACCTATAGGACATCCGTAACGTGCAACAATGGCCACAGGAAAAGAGTATTAATGTGTAGCGCTCAGATGCTGCTGAAACGCGTAATTAGGACAAGCAGTTGTCGAGATTCAGTTGTTTCCCAGCGCCAAAATCCAAAATCGCGTGTTTTCCAGAAGTTACTTTTCTCTGCTAAGAATCATGGCAAAGTTAGAACAACTTTTCTGGAGTAGATAGCCAAAATTAGGCTCAGGTGGTGATGTTGATGTGACAGGTAATCAATGGTCAACAAAGAAAGGTCCACAGGGACCTTTCCAACAAAAACAGCCTTAAAATTATCACCATCCCTTCTATTCTCACACAGCACAACGTGTACTACAATGCTGAAATATATAGTTTACGTGTGCATATGCTGATACATGATGAGCTGCATTCAAAAATACAAACAGATACTTGCTAAAGCATTACGATGAGATGACTCATATCTTCTGATCTGAAAATAAAGCAGCTCTTGCACTACGTACAGTATGTAAATCGGTCACAGAGGAAAATCTACGAGCGAGGCTTTTTTTACCTTTTACTCTATATATGTTGAATAGGTTTTCACATCATGCAAATAGGCAGTCTGCATTGCTTTGCACAGCTTACTTGTTCACGAGTCTGTGTAAAATCTTTGTTGTTGCTATTAACTGTAAAAAGGCCTCCAGCACATTATTAGGGAAGTAACACATGCAGCGATAGTTTCCGGCAAGAGTGAAAAGCACACAGACTATAGAAGGTATAAATAAGAACAAATGAGCACATTTCCACTTGTTTGCAGGTCAGCTGACCAATGAATTAATAAATAGTTAAGTAAATACACAAGATGCAAGCCCACAGTGTGTAGCGTGTGACCAGACGGCAAGCCCCAAACTAGGCCTGGCCTTCTCCGTTTTAGGGCTTAAGCACACTTTAACCTTAAACGTATTAGTTTCTGTTCACAAAGTCGTGAAAAAGATCAAACCATGAAACCAACTGAGCTCAAACTCGGGGGTGAGGCTCAATAGAAAGTTAGGCTGCAATTAGAACATCATCACAAACGTAAGCAAAATGTTTGAATGATTTACAGCGCCATCTCATTTAATGTGCCTTATTGATTAATGCAAAATAAATAGTGTTTAAAGTAACAGAGGGCTCCTAAAAATGCCCTACTGTATAAATGTTAATGTATGATGTTAGGATTATGTCTGTCTCTTATTTTTATCCACTATATTAATCACATGGTCTTCAACTAAAGCATCTTCTGAGAGCTTTTCCTCAAGAATGATATGATAATGCATGATAAGTGTCACAATATTTAGCATTTCTGAGGTTGGATAAGGTTGGGTGAGTGGCATATTTGAAAAGCACTATCAAAACCCATGAACGCAATAATGTTTCACCTACTGCACTGTACTAAATCTAATTAAACAGGACTAACTTTGCTCTCTTTGTAAACATAAATGCAGTTTATCAGTATTTTTTAAGTACTGATGATATCGATGATATACTTAGAAGTGCACATTGTGATGTTTTGTGATATAATTGATCACAATAGTGATAAATATCGTGAAATTGCAGAGACCTAGTGTGTGGCCAACTGTATGAAATGTAAAGTCACTTCATGCAAAATAACTATCACAAGTTAGCTGTCTTATTTTTCTCATCACTGCAAAACATTCAACATCAGCTGTGATCAGAATAAGTGCATCTATCACGAGAACCTCAGTCACAAAACTAAAGGCGGAGGCGAATGAATATCAGACTTAAAAGACAGAAAGCCGCCCAGAAGATTCTCTCTGCTGCATACACTTGAACAGCATGGCCTACGCGTCTAACTGCAGCATGGAGGGTCACTTGCACACTAAACCCTATCACATCTCATCAAACGAAAGGCTTTACTCGATCAACTCGAGAGGCTAAAAGGCCAAGCACAAACAAACAGAGAATTTATCCTATGCCTCCTAATCTGTCTCCATGAGAAATGCAAAGGACTGAAACCGAGATCGCAGTAATGTGTGTGTCGCTGTACGTGTGTGTGTGTGGCTCCCCTTCAGTTAAGAACTTGCATAATTAATAATCACCTTCCTCAACTCCCCCCACGGATCAATTTCCACATTAACAAGTGCTGATCTACGTCCAACATAAGCCAAAAACACATTACGCACATATTTTTGACGCATGTCTTTTTTCCCCCAGACTATATGACTTCTCTCAATTTCCAACACATTACTAAACTCAGCAGTGCCAAAGTACGAACATCCCAGCAAGGTGCTTTATGAAAGAAACTCTAAACTAGACCTAAGGGCAATTTATGATCATAACAGGTTTCACTTGATTTGA